ATGCATAAATATGTATTGTATTTTAAAGTTAATTGTTCTCTTTATTTTCTTGTTAAAATACGTTTGTTATTTATTTTTGTACCGGAAATAAAATATTAGGAAAATATTTTTAATTGCATATTTTACTTGTTTTTAGCGCATATTTTTTAATTTTGAATGCATATTATTTGCCGATATTTTCGATTTTTTAGTGCATGAGATTCCTAGCCCTATAAATAAACACCCTGCAGTGAAACGCCAAACTAGTCAGGAAAAATACTAGTTTGCAACTAGAATCTTCTGACTGAAACCGAACTAGTTCGAAAATGACCAGACTTGTACCAAGTACAAAACGATTTATGTATTTTATTTGACTTCGACAGTTGAATACAATAGAGTACACAAAATATTATAACTTTTATTTGGGTATATTGTAAACCGTTAAAGCGATTACGTACTCGTAATTATACCATACTTGTTAAATTATGATTAATATTCATAATGATTATTAATTAAAGCATGTTTTTTTGAATAACCGTTTAATGGTTAAATACCGATATGCTAACCTTTTTAATGATTAATAATTACTTGAACAAAATTTTTAAATTAATTCGTTAATTTTAATTACATCATTATTTTGTTATTTTTGAAAATTTTCAATTATTTTTGACTCTTTTTAATTACAAATTAATATATTTATTTGATTAATTTTAATTATCAAACAACAAGCCAAAGTATAGACAAAAATTAGGAATATTTATTACCTGCTTGAATTATTTATTTACTTTATTCTTATCCAAATCTCAAATTTTAAACATTAATTATTACTTTAAAAAAATTTTAAAACGAAAGAACTGAAATGTGCAAAGTTAACGAATTTAATTTATTTTAATGAAAACTTTTATTTTTATTTTAGTTCACTCAAAATGAATTAAAGTATTCGTTTTATTTTTAACTAAAATTTTTTGTTTTCCATATTATTAAAAAAAGATAAATATATAGTATTTATTGTACCTGAAAGTTTTACTTTTAATATCATTTAATGGAAAATGCCTTTAAATTTATGTTCGATTGTTTGAAATATTTATGTATTTATTTTTCCTTTTAATTAATACTCAAACAATTTTACACTAATTATGGGCAAATCTAAGGCTGCTAAATAAAAATGTGTAATATTTTAAAGTGTACTTAATCAAAAGTCTTTCATTGTATATTCATGAATTCTTGATTTAAATGACTTGCAAAGTAGGGGTTTTGGTCCATAATTGGAGTAGTATTTTTCTGTCTGTTTTGAGCTAGTATGAGACTGGTATATTTCTGACCGAAATCTTGTAGGACATCCCCATGTTAAAAATACCAGTTGACTGCGTAGAAAAAAGATAGTTGGCTGACTAGTTGGGCATGCGGTTCATACTAGTTGTGAGGTAGTTTACAACTAGTACATTTGACTACAGGGCATATACACAACTCATACACAAAAACGGCACTCATGTATAATGTGACCAACCGTACTTCTTTCGGAAGTACAGTACTTATTTTTTCGCTCTTGCACTTCGTACTTCGAAGTACAGTCAAATGTATTTGTTTGCAATATTTTGTACTTCAGGAGGGAGATTCTGTAACCAGTTAGCGACAATTTTCGGATCGCTAACGCACTTTTTGACGTATGATATAAATGTTTTTGCGTCAAAAAGTGTGATAGCATTTCGAAAATCGTCGCTAACTGGTTATAGAATCTCTCCCCAGGTCCTGTACTTCTCCGATCTTCTGGACGATCGTCACATGGCCTAGGCGATAAATTCGTTCAAACCATTAAAGTCGCCGGAGACCGATGGCATCATACCTACGTAGCTGAAAAGGGCTCTGAAGGTGTCGTGTAATTGTTTGGATCCTATTTGTACGAACTGCGTGAGAATCGGGTACATCGAAAGGCTTGGAGGGTAGTCAGTGGTGCGTTCATCTCAAAGGCAGAAAAAGTCTCTCATGTTTCTTTCACCTAGGGATTTTAGGCCTATCAGTAAAGTATTGGTAAAGTGGTCAGAGGAAGCCTTTACGCATGAAAATTATGCAGTAGGGGCCTTCTTCGATATCGAGAGGGCCTTCAACAATGCTACTTCAGAGGCAGTAGTCAAGTACATTCATAATATGGGAATGAAACCAACCTAATAAGGCTTATCTACAGCTTACTTCGTGACAGAGCTATCACGGCGGAGTGAGGGAGCGTCTGCACTCAGTGCAGAGTCAATAGGAGCACTCCACAAGGTGGTGTTCTCTCTCCTCTGCTCTGAATTGCAGTTAAAAACGACCTTCTATAGGAACCGGAAAAAGAGGGCTGTCGGATGATCGCCTATGTAGATGATGTGGAACTTTTGGTTGAGGGCCGATTTCTATACAACCTTTTTGATCTGGCTTAAGGTTACATGAACCAGGTAACTAAGTGGGCGATCAACGGTGGCTGTCATGGAAACCTAACATTGGGGAAAGGTGTCGGTGTCCTTGTACTGCTGTAGGGGAGCTATCGGTAAAAGGTGGGGTCTCTCGCCCAAATTAATTCATTAGCTCTAGGGTACCAGATTTAAGCCTATATTGTTCTAAGGAGCCCTTGTGGTGGAGCTCACTAGAGAAGGCTGCACTTGTAATTAGCGGAGCATTAGGAACCACATCTACACTGACGCTTAACATACATATGTTGAACACGGCGCCTGTGGATATTGCAGACAGAATTGTCGCAGCACGAACTGCTATTCGGCTAAGGAAAACTGGGGCCTTTTGTGACATAAAAGATGGAAAAGAAGACATTTTTCTGCTGCAACAAATGTTTTTATAGGGCATTTTAAAGCACATTACCTCTCAAGGGCTTGTGATGAAGGTTCTGACAGGCCGTTGTGCGACTGGTATTTGAAGCGGTGAGATTAGGAATTTCGACTTAGCCGTTTGTATCAGCTGTCAAGAGGAAGATGAAGTGGAATCATATCCACACTTTCTTTTGGACAGTCCACCCTTCGCGATGCTCAGGGATCGAAATTAGCCGCATTCGAAATTTCGTAATCGGCTCGCGGCGTTACTTAACCCAACCTAAGCTGTACTTCTTTAAGCTATGAAATAGTTGGCCACATTACTCATGTACACAATACATACCAGGGATGTTGTGAATATTTGCACTCACATTCCTTATGCGAATGATTCGCATTATTTTACACGCATACGACACACGAGAAGCTAGCAAGTAATTTTGAGCAAAAAAAAAACCGACTTAAAAAAAATATATATATATCTATATATTTCATGATCCAATGATCGGATCTAAACCAATTTAGTATGGGACCACCTCTGAGACACTACCTTTCCGTTGCAAAAAGAATTATTGAAATCGGTTGACGTTGTGCAAAGTTATGCGGCAACATACATAAAAAAAAATATTCCGACGAACTGATAACCTCCTCCATTTTTGGAAGTCGGTTAAACAAAGATAGCTATGTAAAAGCACTGTTTCAAAACTCGCTATATTAAGTTTTTATATATAAAATTTCCACAAACTGCCCCACTGCGATATTGTTTTTTAATGTTATTCGGCTCTTGTTTATCCAAATTTTCAGATAATACAGAGAAATATACAATTTGGGTGTTACTTGTTACGCTATTTGTGCAATATTAAAAAAAATTCAACAAACTTTCGTACAATTTTCGAACTTTTAAAAATTCTAAAAAATCAATCGACATTTTTAGCGATTTAAAACGTGTACTTTATTCTAGTAGAATTCAATGGGCTACAAAACTGCATACTCAGAATTTAATTAAAAAACTCGAAATTTTCACGAAAATTTGTAGAATTTTTTTCTTAATTGCATAAATTTTTAAGGCAGTGTCACTCGATTGGTATATGTACAGATTTGTAAATTTTTATATTAGGCTATTGGTAAAAAAATGGGACATTTTTTTTTTGTAGTTAAAAGATTGGTACAATACAGCGATGTTCTATTGAAAAATTTCAATGAATTAATTTTCGTGATTGGGATAGTTGAAACAATTGGAATACGATTATACCAAATTTTGGCAAATACCCAATCGTGTGATACTGCCTTTAAACTTGTATTTATACGGATGTTGGTAAAGAACGAACTACAAAAAACTAACCGAAATTAAATAACAACAAAAATTATATTTTAAAACTTGTCAAAATTTGGTGCGGCAATAATTTTTTCGACTACTGTAGCACTACTGTGCCACTCATATTTGACCTATTCAACCCTGTCATTATGCATTTTTTTAATCAGTATTTTTCTTTTAATCAAAATATGTTGAAATAAAAGTGAAACTAAAAAAATGTTTGCCATCAAATGAACAGCTGTCAGATGAAGGCAGTTTTTGATGTCAGTGATTTCGACCTAATGAAAACCAGCCTTTACTATCGTAATTTTTGGTTTTTCTCTACCGATACCACCTTGTTTGAAGTCGCCGTGGGCAGTAGTTTGCAGAAATTATTTTACTAAAAATGTTTCTTTTTCTTGTGGGTAATTTACGTGGAATTTGAAAATTTTTATTTAGATTTCTTTCTGGGTAATTAAACGAATTGAAAACGGCAACGCTGGTTCACATTTTGGGGTGTTTATATTTTACGGTGTTCACATTATCGCGCGTGCACTGTATGCCCGTTCCATTATTTCTTGAGGAAAGAGTAAGGCAACAAGCTGTGAAGTATCAGATGTCAAAAATCCCTTGACACACACACGAAATAATTGCAATTTTTTATTTGAGAGCTGCATACTGGCCTTTAGCCGTAATTAGTTTTGGCCAGAAAAATAGGCATTTATACCATAGTGCATATTTAAAATCAGCCTTAACAACAATCACCAATTCCAAAATATAAAACGTCCTGAAATTAATGGGCACTTTGCATTAACTACGAATGAGTTATTCAAACCTGCCAATAGGCGTTGAAATCATGTGTATAGCCTTTAATTAGGTAATTTTTATTTTATTTTTTATGTTACGTTAATAAAGTTTTATTTATGTACTTACAGATATGTACTCAACACATACCTCTTCAAATTACTCACCATCAGTGTCAGACGGCACCTTAACGCCAAATTCATTACAACAGCAAGAACATGGCATGCCATATCCTTCACATATCCAAGCCTCGAAATATTATCAGCAACAACATAATGAGGGAGATGCGAAGCAAAGTCAAATTTTAAAGAACACAGTGCATGGTAGCAAAGTTGGAAGTATTGAAGATAATGAGGAGGCTGCTAATGGAGATGTTAAAACATCAGGAAGAAATTCAGCAGAGCGGATACAATCAGAGAAGCTAGAAGGCAATGCCAATTTGGAGTTGCAACACAAACGACACACCCGCCTTCATCGCCAACACGTTTACCTCCATGCAGAGTATCACAGCTCTAAGATAGTTACAAAACTGCGAAAAATTGAAAGAGTCGCTGCAAAGTTTGATAAGTTGACAAGCGATGGCATTAAGGGCACCAACGTTGATGGCTCTTATCAGTGTCAGTTCTGTGATAAATCATTTCCTCGACTTGGTTATTTAAAAAAACACGAGCAGGTGAGACAATAAAGAATGCTTTTTAAAATCTACATACTAATAAGCTAACATAAATTTTGTCTCCGTTCGTTTGGCGATTCTACCAAACTGATTTAAAAACCAAGAAAACCATTGGAAAAGTAATTTTCTGTAGATGAGAAGAGTTTTTCTGGTTTCAAAATTTATTGAAAAATACGGTCCGTATTTGTGGTTGTTGTTGCAACCTGGTCAATTTGAGCTTTTTTCCCACTTTGTTTTACTTTGTATTTAAAAAAAAAAACTTTGTAATAAATGTGATCATGAAGAAATAAATGATAACGATTAAGACATAAAAGTGAAGACAAAATTGGAGATCATCGAGTTATCCATGCTTGGTGAGTTATCGTAACGTAGCGAATTATTCAAATTGATCAATCTCTTATGGAGTTAATAGACACAAACTTTGTTGTAGAAATTTACGGATAGTTATCGAGCTACACAAATTTATGGGATTATCGAAATTCGCCAAGTTAATGAAATTTATCAAGTTATCGATATTTATTGAATTATCCTTATTTATAGAGTTAACGAAATTTATCAAACTATCTTAATGCACCGAGTACTTTGAACTTACGAGATATCGGTATTTATTGATATACCAATTTAACAAAACGTAGTTTTTGGAATTTTCAAAATATGTCAGGTTATCGACATTTCAAGGTCATATATTTACTGCGCATGTTTATTTTACGAGGAGGAATAATCGAAAGCCTAAAGCTGGTGCCAGATAAAACTTTGTAGCTT